GTCTCTCATGCATGGCTTGGAGACGAAGACGAGATCTCATTCTAAAATACATAGTAAGCCGTCTTTCTTTTTCGACACTACTATTTACATGCACGTATAGAAAATGGATGGCTATCATCCGACTAGCTGGTAAGATTGGCACACTGTCCACATGTCTGGTGCATACTTTCACTTTTCAGCACCTATAATAACATTGAGCAATTCAGACATGCGGCATCAGCATGATAGTAGAATTTGCATTGCTTGCTTCAACATCCAACTTTTGGGTATAAGTATATGGTGCACATAATTTTTATGCAAATATTTTTCATTTTTTTGAGTTCAAAAATCATAAATTTAAGAAAATCTCGACTACTCATGAATTCCGAGACAGAAATTTACTTTGATACAGAGCTTGACACGGAGCAAAAAAAGAGATTGCGCACAAGAGGAGTAGGGAAGCGTGGAGCATGGAGCACAGCAAGAAAAATAATAGTTACTGAAGTATGCCTGTTGGCATTAGCATGTGTGTCAATGGCAGTGCTATTTCCAAATCTCACCGGCGTAAGACGTACTGATGCAAACAATGGCTATTCAGATGTTCCCAGTTATCTTGATGGCTATATGGACGGTTCGATTTTGATAAATAAGGCACACTTTGCGGAGGAAATAGCCTTCTATCATATGTATACTAAGTGCATGTCTAATCTCGCAGATACCTATGATAAGGTCAATCATTTTCTAAGGACTAATAAGGGCGACATTACTACACTTGTTGGAGACGAGAAATGGAAGGAGATCGTCGATACCGTAGAAACTACACGGAAAAACGTGCTACAGGCAATTAGAGCCGAGGGTGAGAACATCGAGTCGACTACATTTGACATGTGGAAGGAGCTTTACGAATTCAAGGATGTTAAGGGGAACACCACATCAGCAGAGCTTGCAGATGTTTCCAGCTTCATAGCTAGGGGAGAGCTGTTGCGGAATGTTGACCAAGAGTCCCTGCAGCAGGCAGATGCAAAGCTCATGTCCATCATAGACACCAAGAATAATGCGATCTTGTCATCCATAAGCGACGCGGAGAAGAAGATTTACGCTCTTATGAATAGGGAGATAAATGAGGCCAGTTTTTTTGCGTATCCAATGCTGAAGATGAGCTGGTGGTACCAGAGATTCGGATACAAGGATTACATGGACTCCGTATACAATGACCCTATGTCCTTCTACACCGTCTGTGCTTTTGGCTGTCTTCTTGTTGTCGCTCCCATTTTCATTTACCTAAGGGACAGGATGCACCTGAGGAAGAAGCCTCACACGAATCCAATTCATTTAAAATTGGCTGCACAGAACAGTCCTTCTTCCAACTTAATTAAACATTGAGACTCCAATGGCGTTCAAGTCTTTGAGTTGTTTAAGACATCTTAATATACTAGTTTATTACTTAGTTCTTCCAGTACCACACATTGCAGAGAAGTTAGATGCCAGCTTCTGCGGGACAGATCTGTGTCATCCACACTCGTTTATTCACTCCTGCAAGGTGTTGGCAATGGCTCATCTTCAGACTGCACGCTTCTATGCCAAGAGTCCAGTAGTTGGTTAATGCAAGCGTGTAGACAGGTAGAGGATGTTCTTGATAATAGCAGGGGTAGCTACACGATCTGTACAGGCATACATATTTCTATTTCTGATAGAGACTACAGACAAGAGTCATTTATGAATGTGCAGTCAGTTCGTGTGCCTGATCATGACCACGTAGGATTTACTCAATTCACTTTTCTGACTAGTGCTTAAATAAATGCAAACTAACTGTTTTGTCATAGGCTTTATGGTTTAACTATATCTATGTACACTCACATGCAATCTCCAGCCACAGCATGCTACAGGGAATATGCTTGTATTCTGTACTGGACATTTAGACAATCAGCAGCATACCAATTCACACCCATTCAACTGGACTGCACAAAGAATGTAGTCAAGCTGTGCACTAATTACTCCGGTGTTATTTGTCCAACGAATCACAAGTCAGTCTGGAGTGATTGCACTGGAGTGATTTGGCATGACATATTTGACACCCGTCAACATTCTATTTTCGAGCTGAGTCTTGTGTGGTAGAGCTTACTCACAAAGACTTACCGGCACAGTCAATGTGATATTGGTAGTAATTACTGTCATGCTTGTAGTTAAAGCTTATATATATCATTGTGGTTTTTAACTTGGAGATATATCATTCTACTGTCAAATCCAGCTATTTAAAAATTTTCAGCCACACCCCTTAATGAATATTGCACAGACGAGAAAGACATGCAAAGCAATCTGGAGTCTACTTGTACTCATGGGAGCTACACTCCAGAGCTCGGACAATGGTGCAAACCCAGACGGAATCGGTAGCTTTGAAAGGCATTCTAGGAATGAAAGAAAAATATCTATACATTCCAAGGACATTGAATATATTGACAGCTATATTAGGGGGTCAGTGAAGTCAGAGATAAAGGAATTGGTTCTCAGTAACAACAATCTCGAAACATTACCACCTGTAATGGAAGAGCTGGAGAATCTAAAAGTATTATTTCTTAATGTTAACAGATTAAAGTTATTGCCAGATGAGATAGGAAAGTTGGTGAGCCTGCAGGAACTGTGTCTTTCTTGTAATGAACTAAAGCTACTGCCTGCTAAGATGGTAGAGCTGAAGAGTCTACAGAAACTGGATCTTTGGAAAAACAGATTTGAAAAATTTCCAAATGTAGTAGGAGAGCTGAAGAGTCTACAAGAACTGGATCTCAGTGGTAACAAACTTGAATCACTGCCGGCAGTGATAGGGAACCTAATTAATCTACAGGACCTGGATCTCCATGAAAATAGTCTCAAGACATTACCAACTGAGATAGAAAAGTTGAAGAGTCTGCAAAAGCTAAACCTTCAAAATAACAGATTTGAATCACTACCGGCAGTGATAGGGAACCTAACTAATCTACAAGAACTGGATCTTGATCATAACAAACTCAAGACACTACCAGACACTATAGGAGAGCTGAAGGATCTAAGAATATTAAGTTTTATCCATAACGAATTTGAATCATTGCCAACTAAGGTAATAGAGTTGAGGAATTTACGAGAGCTGAATTTCGACGATAATAAACTAAAGCTACTGCCAGTTGAGATAGGAGAATTGAAGAATCTACAAAAACTGTATCTCAGTGGTAATAATCTTAAGACACTACCAGACACTATAGGAGGGTTGAAGGATCTACGAGAACTGAGTCTCAGTGGTAACGAACTTGAATCACTACCGGCCGTGATAGGAAACCTAGTTAATCTCCAGTATCTGAATCTTGATCATAACAAGCTCAAGACATTACCAGACACTATAGGAGAGCTGAAGAATCTACGAAAACTGTATCTTGGCGGTAGCAAACTCGAGATTCTACCAGTAGCAATAGGAGAGCTGGAGAATCTACAAAAATTGCATCTTAGTGGTAACAAGCTCGAGACACTGCCAATTGAGATAGAAAAGTTGTCAGGTTCATTGCGATTACTGAATTTAAGAGGCAATAACATTTCAGAGGTTGGTGATGGAGAAAGGACTGTGGGCTGGAGAGAATTGAGAGCGATATTTGGAGATCGTGTTATGCTTGATAACGACAGTGTTGAATATGAAGAAGATGAAATTTCAGTCGAGGATGTGTACAGAGAACTTAAGAGCAAGCCAATGCACTGGAACTTCGAGATGCTGAAGACACTCAGACCACAGTCAGTTCCTGAGTTTAGATGCAGCGAGGAAGAATTGATGGGGCTGTGGAATGAGAACATGTTTGTGAGGGAGTGGGACAGGCTGAGGCCCGAGGTCATTGAAACGATTGAGGCCAACAGAAGAGTCCTTTTGGCAGTGTATGGAGAGGACTTTTCAAGACTGCTCAGGACAGATGTAGACGGGGAGACCAGGAATAGGAATATCACAGAGATTGTTACGAAGATTGCAGAGAACAAAGACAGCCATACCAGGGAACGAAACATCTCAAAGCTCACTGGTAATGACAAAAACGTCTTTAAAGACATGTGGGAGAAGAACAGCCACATGTTCATAATGGGCGACAACAAGAGAACAATGGACGAGTTCATACACCACATCTACAATCCAGACCAGGAGTACAGGAGGTGGGGGATGAAGAAGAAGCACACAGGCCTGGCCAAGAACCTGCTTGGATCCATACTCAATGCTCTTTCGAGAGAGAGTGATGGGGATGTGGTCTTCTCGAACATCAATGGAATCTGTGAGGGGCTTGGGTATTGTCCGGACAGACAGATATCCGAGATGATGTTTGTGCACAATTTGCTGACAGGAGATATGGAGGAGCAGGAAGGTAGCAGTCTGGAGAACAGAGTGAGGAAGGCTGTTGAGAGATGGGTTGGGCAGGAAAAAGAACGGGTGTTTGATATTGCAGTCACACCCATGAATGAGGGG